CTTCCATGGAGACTCCGTCTTCATATTTTATCAAAAGCTCAAATGCTTCAGGTAATATCTAAGAATTCGGTGATGGTATTCTGTTACCATATTTCTAACTCTGTTGCTACATTGAAGGAAGATCAATATATAATTCATTTATTATTGATTCCCAGCCTCAAGATCCTCTCCACCATTTTCATGCTAAAGATATCAATGACAGATTGACAGAATATGTCATCTTTAAAACTTACATTCTTTATGGATTATTCTAAGAGCCAAGCCTAAGCGGCTTTCTCACAGTTAAGATGACCTACACTTTTTGTATAGGAAAATTAATGGGAGGAGAAACTTTAACTTCATCTAGGAGCTCTCCACTAACTTTGGGAATTTTTCCCCACAAGCTAACATTGCAAATGCTAATATCTAGAACTTTAAAAATCTAATTAACAAACATTTTACCCAGAAAGAAACTCCTCTACTCTCACTGTGGGTTCTCAAGTTCTTCATTGCATGTTATGCAACCTTTTGGCTCTTTTCTTTAATCAGGAAATTAAGAAGTGGTCTTCTGAATATCTAAATATTTTTCTCCCAATCGTAATGGATGCACCTTTGAATTTTATGCTTCCTCATGGGAATTTGTCGGAAATCAAATTTATTTGGCGGCTAAATACTACTTTAATCTCAATAAGCTACCCAAGAATGTTAAGGCTGCTACTATCCCCTTATTACTGAGATTCCCCATGCCTGTAACATATATAGCTCACCATGTATGTTTTTTTATAAAAGTATCTGAAACTTAGAGATAATAAACATAAAGCAGTTATGACAGACATCATTTCTCAAAGTCAAATTAGTTTACTTCATCGCAAGCAGTCAACAGATAACATTTTTTCTAGAAAATAAAATTCTCCATGAGTTTTCAACCAGTAAAGAAAAACAAATCTTTTGTGCTAAATTTGACATTCGAAAGGTATTTGGCACTAACAGTAAAGAATTCACCTCAAAGGTTTTTCTCAACTTTTCATTGATTGGATCAGTGCATGAATATCTAATGTGCAATAGTTTATCTATATAAATGGTGCTTTGGAAGATTTTTTTCTCCTCTTCTTCTAGGTTAAGGTATGGTTGCCCCTTATGTTTTCTATATTGTTATGGATGGCCCCTCCAATGTCCTTAATAATAAAATTGCTTATGGTGACTATCTTAGGGTTGTTGTTGATCAAATCCCCTTTTCCCACGTGCTGTATGCAGACGGTTCACTAATTTTTGGATATGCCAACCCAGACAATATTGATCCTAGGATTCTTCATGAGTTCAATATGGTTTTTGGCCTTCATATTAATCAATCCAAGAGCTATATTTGCTTCTCTAAAAAGGTTAATAACTCACAAGCTCTTCATAACAGGCTTGGCATTCCTCTATCTCATATGAAACTCAAATATCTAAGCATTCATGCATCATCCATCAAACTTTTGCTCACTAAATTCCAACCCTTCTCACGCAAAGTTTTGTCATTTTGAAATAGTTGGGAAGCTAAAGCTTTGTTATTTCCTGTCAAATTTTAACGATTAAAACTCCCCATCTTGAATACTTTGCCTTAGTGGGCTTGCTTTCTCAGTACTCCCAAAAATTGCACTAAAAACATTAACCGGCATTGTACCAAGTTTCTCTACCATGGCAGTGTCAACAAGAAAAGGCTTCATTTGGTTTCTTGGGAACTTACTTGCAGATCTAAATCTAAAAGGGGTTGTGTATCCCATTCATTTCTACAATTCAACAAGCTCACATGTGATGAGGACATTAGTCAGAGATTTTAACATGTGTATCGTCAACGTAGTCATGGAGCGACAACTACGATTCATAGCCTATATTTTTTATGTATTTTATGTTGCTTTTGAGTTTTCCCATTTTACCCCTATGGGGAGTTGAGTCTATGTTGAAGCCCGAGGGCACTTTCATTTTTTATATTTCTTTCATTTTGGCCTATTTATTGGAGGCCTCTTGCGTTGTAATGAAAGATGATTATTGAGTAAAAATTTCAGATTTTCTTTTTCTCAAGTTGTGAGCTCTTGAGTGGAGAGAACCCTAGGAGAGGGATATGCAATACCCGACAGCCGCCGGTGGATTCCGAGCTCTTGGTTAGTCTTTTGTTTTATCTACCACCACCCTTCATTCTAATTTTTCCCCATATCCGAGCCCTGCCCAAATCCCCCATACCGCCGACTCACCCTCCACCTCCCTTAATCTCCACGTCATCCCCCCCCGTGACCCTTTTCTCCCTCCTAATCAACTCCCAATCACAATTAATTGCTCCCCTAATTCCCTCTCTAATAATTGCCCATCAAAGCCCAAGCCCTATTTGAAATTTGAATTTAATTTCAAAGTGATTCCCTCCAATTTCACTTAACCTGAAATTAATTTCAGGTTATCTAATCCCAACGATTTCTAACTGAAACCTAGTTGTTCCCCCTCTCTTCCTCACGCCATCCCAACCCCTCCCCTCTACCCAAGCCGCCGGCCTCCCTCTCCACCCGCCACCTCCTCTCCCTCTCCTCCCCCACTTGTATTCTCTCCTTTCTCACGGCAAGCATGTATGGCAGATCCGGAAGTTGATCGCGGGCTCATTCTCAATTCTCAAGGGGAGATTGACGTCATTCGATCACCATTCTTTGATCCTGGATTTGGATCCGAAGGCACCATCAAGGAATACGTGGATCATATCCTCCCCCACTTGGCGGAAGTCATCGACGAACAAAAATCTCTTAAAGAGTGGAAGATCATCGGATGACTGCCCATTCCTCCAACTCTGATTCCTTCCCTGACGACTAGTACCCTTGGCATCGCGTGTCTTCTAGTGGCGTCTCTAAGTTTGCTTGCAACATTCTTCCACTAAGCACATCACCTTCAAGAGTGTGAGTGAGGGATCTCAAGGTGAATGATCTAATTATTAAACTGTGAATTTTGTTAACTTGTCATTTGCTTTACTCGTTTATTTGGTGTGGTTATTTTGCAAGTGACCTATTAATCTTAATTGTAATCAATTGCCAGTGCTTAGTATTCTCATGGAATTTCTTAAGATCTAACTTGAAAAAGCATCAGCTTATATTTAACCAAGTAAAGTTCTCATTTTATTAACTTCCTAAAAGCAATTCTTGTTCATCATCATTGTATCACATCATATTTGGTATCAGAGCATGGTAGACAAGCATATCATTTACTAGAAAACATCCTAGAGTCTAGCCAAACATTAGTCTTAAAGTTCGCATGCATATTATCGTCTAAATAATTTTAATTCACTGTTTTTGTTTGCTGTCCATGCATTTCCTGCACATGTTTAGTGAACTTTAGGTCAATTTCCCTAGTGTCGTAGTGCTGTCCACAAGCTGACAACTCTCCTAAGTGCTTAGGTTGCTTACACCATTAGTATAGGCTGCTGTCCAAACTTTTCCTGCACCAAATAGTGGCCTTTAGATGAGTCTAGGCTAGTGTTTAGGTGCTGTCCACACGCTAGAAACCTTCCAAAACACTCAGACAACTTAGGCCATTGTTGTAGCTTGATGTCCCGACCATTCCTACATCATTTAGAGGCGTTAGGAGCATATTATCTTAGTGTCTAGGTGCTGTCCCTTACCCCATTACCTCCCCTAGCGTACCCTAACACCCACCCATGGATCCGGAACACATTCAAGCAACCTTAGACGTAATCGTGGGCCAACTTGGAATGGTTACTCAGCAAATTAGGAACACCCAGACTGACTTAGCCGACTTTAGACGTCAGACAGGGGAGAGACTTGATAACATCGAGCATATAGGAAATCCAGCGATCTACACCCCCTCTAGACCCCATTCTCCTTACGGTGATGATACCTGAACTGAATATGGACCTCCTAGAAACCACTACCGTCCCAATAATCGACCCAATCAGGAACCTTTAGGATGCGACACTCCTTGGAGAGATAATGATACCAAACTGCTTAAAAATATTTATATATATGCCCCATCTTTGGACAGTACGTTAGACCTTCAGGTCTTCCTAGATTGGCTCAAGGGAATGGCCAGTTATTTTAAATGGTATAATATTTTAGAGGAATGAAAAGTTAGGTTCGTCGAGATGAAGCTAAAGGGTAGAGCTAATCAGTACTGGACGAACCTTGAACATATGCACGAGACCCGAGGAGAATACCCTGTTATTCACTGGGGGACGATGAAACAAGAGTTAAAATGAAAATATCTCCCTCCTTCCTACTATCCTAGACTTTTGGATCGTTGGAATAAATTGACCCAGGGAAGCAAACCCGTCGAGTACATTTCGGCCTTTGATGATTTCATGATTCGTTGTAGTGGGGAAGAGACCATGACTCATGCCCAACTTCTTTCGATGTTTAGATCCGGATTAAGAAAAGATCTTCGGAATGAGCTTTTTGCCAAAGGAGTGAACACTTTGGAAGCCGCTTGTAGTCTTGTGTTAGATTTAGAAGAATCTAGGAGCCACACCCCTTCTAGGAACCAAGACCCTCATTCTAACCCTTTCAAATCCTCCTCTAGTCAACGTTATAGCAAACTCACTGGACCCACGACTAGTCGACCTACCCCTGGCCAAGCCCAATCTCGTCCTGACTATAAAGGTAAAACGCCAAAACGGGAAACACCCAAGACCCCTGCGGGTACTAAATGTTTTCGATGCCATGGGTACAGGCACATTGCCTCTCAATGTTCCAGCCTGTTTAAAGTCACCATTATTGAGGAAGTCACCGAAGAAGAGGATGAAACGGACCCCGAACTAGTTCATCACATTGACGATGATGATGAATTTTTCTGTGAAGACGATACTGCTGTGATCAACTGTCTCAAAAAAATGGACCACTTAGACCTACAAGTTGTTAGGTGTGCTCTTTCACAACCTAAGTTGAGCGACAACTGACGAAGAACATCAATCTTCTACACCTTCACCAAGATAGGTGACAAGAACTGCAAGGTCATCATTGAGTGGGAGTTGTATTAATGTTGTGTCATCCTCTATGATTTCTAAACTTCACTTGAGAGCCACGCCGCACCCAAATCCCTATAAGGTCGCTTGGATCAACCTGACCTCCTTAGAAGCGAAAGATAGGAGTCTCATTCCTATTGAGTTTGTGGGATACAAAGAGAAGATATGGTGTGATGTGTTAACTATGGATATTGGCCAAATCATCCTCGGTCGCCCCTGGTTATTCGATAACGACGTGCACATTTATGGGAGATCAAACGCCTACGTGTTTGAGCACAAGGGCAAGAATATTAAGCTCTTACCCACGCAACCCAAGACTGTCAAGGAAGAGGTAAAACCCAACCCCCTCAAACCTAGTACGAGCCTAAACCTGTTAACCGCCAAGGACCTGGATATAGAATTAGAGTCAGGATCACCTCTATACGCCTTGGTGGCGCGAGAAGTAAGTACAGACTTGGAGGAACCTATCCCTGAAGAAGTTAAGCCTCTCCTTGAAACCTACTCTGACGTCTTCCCATAAGATTTGCCCAACCAACTTCCACCATTAAGGGACATCCAACAGGTCATTGACTTGGTACCCGGGGCTTCCTTGCCCAACCTGCCCCATTATCGCATGAACTCTACTGAGCATGCTGAGCTTAAGAAACAAGTGGATGAGTTGTTACAACGCGGTTTTATTAAGGAGAGCCTTAGTCCGTGTGTTGTCCCCGCCCTTCTAACCCCTAAGAAGGATGGGTTGTGGCGAATGTGCGTTGATAAACAAAGAATATCAACAAAATCACAGTTAAGTATGACTGGGGCCACCTTATTTTCCAAGATTGACCTTAAGAGTGGATACCACCAAATACGAATCCACCCGGGAGATGAATGGAAAACTGCTTTTAAGACCAAGGATGGATTATACGGATGGACGGTTATACCTTTCGGCCTAAACAATGCATCGAGCACCTTTATGAGAGTTATGACCCAAGTCCTCAGGCCCTTCTTAGGAAAGTTTGTAGTTGTTTACTTCGATGATATACTGATCAACAGTAGTTCGGTGGATCAACACCTTGATCATCTAAGACAAGTCTGTGAAATTCTGAGAAAAGAGCAATTATATGCAAACCCAAAAAAATGTATATTCCTCACAGATTGTGTCACTTTTCTCGGATTTACCATATCATCTCAAGGAATATCAGCTGACCCCGAGAAAGTTCGAGCGATTAACGAGTGGCCTGAACCGAAAAATATCAGAGATGTTCTGAGTTTTCATGGATTGGCCACCTTTTATCGGAGGTTAATAAGGAATTTCAGCATGATCGTGGCGCCCATAACAAACTGCTTAAAGAAGGGAGAATTCCATTGGACCTTATCTGCCACTAAAGCATTCGAGGAAATCAAAAAGCGAATGGTCGAGGCCCCAATTATGCGTCTTCCTAACTTTTCTAAAGTCTTCGAAGTAACCTATGATGCATTTGGTATTGGTATAGGAGGAGTTTTTTCGCAAGAGGGACACCCTGTTGCTTTCTTTAGTGAGAAGTTGAATGCTCGTCAGACATAAGAAACTCAATGCTCGTCATTGTCGTTGGGTTGAATTCCTGCAAGAATATACCTACACAATCAGACATAAAGCAGGATCTGAAAACAAAGCAGCAGACGTTTTAAGCCGTCAGATGATGGTTACTCGCGAGATGATGACTGAAGTTACTGAATTTGAGCGCATTAAAGAAGATTATAAGGATTGCCCTAATTTTAAAGAAACATATTCACTCCTGATAACTGGACAAGAGCGGATCCTAGATGACTTCCTAGTGGAAGACGGATATCTATTTAAATCACAAAAACTCTATATCCCCAGTACTTCACTTCATGAATTTCTTATTTGGGAATTACATGCTGGTGGTTTAGCTAGGCACTTCAGTCAAACTAAGACAATTGTGGTTGTTGAAAATTGATTCTATTGGCCGAGACCTAAACGGGACGTTAACAGATTAGTGAAACAGTGTCACACCTGTTAGTTGGCCAAACAAAAAAAATAAAACACCGACCTATATACACCACTCCCTATACCCAACTGTCCCTGGCAAGACGTGAGTATGGACTTCGTCCTAGGATTACCCAAGACCATTAGGAAACATGATTCTGCCTGTGTGGTGGTCAACCGCTTTTCAAAAATGGCACACTTCATACCTTGCTCTAAAACATTTGAAGCCTCTCGTATTGCGAAACTTTATTTCGATGAGGTAGTTAGACTTCACGGTCTTCCCAAAACCATAGTTTCGAATAGAGACGTTAAGTTCACCTGTTACTTTTAGAAGACTCTATGGCACAAGATGGGTATCAAACTCCAATTTTCCACTGTCTTTCACCCACAAACTGATGGGCAAACTAAAGCCATAAATAGGAGCTTAGGCAACCTTCTAAGGACCTTGGTAGGCAAAAACAATCGAGATTGGGATTCCAATTTGTCTATAGCTGAGTTCGCCTACAACAACTCTGTGAATCGAACCACGGGTCTAAGTCCAGCTGAAATTGTGTACGGATACGAACCCAGACAACCTATAGATTTGATCCCTATGAGTCATAGGTATAGAACATTTGAGTCTGCATCTGCATTTGCATCGCATTTACAAGAATTGTATAAGAAAATTAATAAAATGATTGAACAAAACAATGCTAATTATAAGCGTAATGCGGATCTCAAGAAACGATTTAAAGAATTTGAAGTGGGTGACTTTGTAATGGTTCGGATTCGTCCGGAGCGGTTCCCACAAGGGGTCGTTAAGAAATTACATACGAGAAGAGCGGGACCTTTTAAAATAACATCCAAAATAAATAATAATGCATATGTGCTAGACCTTCCTGAGGGTTTTAACATTAATCCTTGTTGGCTCAAGAAAAATGGCACGAGTGCGCGAATCCCGCTTTGCAGTCGTAGGATTCGATTTCTCTTAAGTCAGATTGAAATTAACCAAATTTCCCCTGAGGGTTAGTGTCAGGTTTAAAGATCTTGGGGTTCTTACTTCTATGAGCGCAAGCCTCATAGTTAATTACCCCTCTCTTACTATGTAAGAGAGAATCTTCGATTAATGGTATGAAATGATATTTTTAGATAAATTTTAGTCTCAAATATGGGAGGAATATGGAGATAAAACCGATCAATTGATCCATGGTTCCGTCGTTCCCGGTGTAAACCATAAGAATTCACGGTCTCCAAAAAAAAAAAAAAGAAAAAAAAAAAAAAAAAAAACAAACTAAAAATTTCTCCTCACCTTTTTATGCTTTGCAAATTGTTGTGTGTCTAGGAATCTGATTAGCATTCCTGGTTGCCGTCGGATCCGAATAGACTGACAGTGGTTTGTTGGATTTTAATTTAGTTTTATTAATTTTGTTGGGCTTACTACTATCCTTAGAAGTTGCCCGGTGTAATTTGTTTAAGTTTGGGCTTTACGGCTTCCAATTAGGAGTTTGCCATAGAGATTTGTTTGTTTGGGGCTCACGGCTCCATATTAGGAGTTGCCCGAGAATTTGGTGGAGTAGTCTTTATGGCTCTCTTAGAAGTTGCTAACAGTGGGTCTACGACTTAGCCTGTAAGCTAGCCGGCCCGAGTTGTGGGTCCCTTAAACCATAGTCCTTTAGACTAGATGCCCAAGAATTTAATTTATTTGGTAGGACTTATGGCATTCCTCTTAGGAAGTACCTGAAAAGCGGTGTCTTAAAAAGCGTATTTAGACTAAGATGCACAAGGTTTAAATTTTGATTGTTGGGAGGGATTTAGGATCCATTGCTTTTATTTTATCTCATTATTTATTTTAAAATGTCGGGGCTTACGATCATTACATAGTACATTGCCCATGTGGTCTCTATCACTAATCCTATGAGACTAGCGTATGGCCCAAGTGGAGGTGCTTTATAGTTTTGTCCTCGTCTTTTCAACCCTTTAACCATCTCCTTCCATACATGCGCGTGACTCATATACTAGCTTCTACTAAGATATGCGCCTGTGGGCTTTTCATACATTGTGCGTTTTAGGTATTTAGGTCATACTTTCTACTCTCAAACTTCCTTACAACCGCTTACTCGTGTGTCCCTACGAAATCTGCCGTAGTTCCGTCGCTACAACCGCCGGGTTAGCGTCACTTCTCTGCTCTCCTATGCACCACGAGGCTGCCTAACAATTTCCGCTTGAATTTGATTGTTTGTTTCGCTTTGGATTGACTTTTTGCACATCCTCTGCTCGTCACATCTTTGTACTACCTTTTCGGAATTGAACTACTAATGTCATGTTTTATTTGTTTTGATTTGTGCTTGTAGTCTTTTTCCCTTACTACAAAGTAGTTCCATTTTTTTCTACCCATCTTTTCAGCACTGTTACTACTATCTTGCTTTTTTCGACTTGCTTTCTGTGATTTCAGTACTTATCTCGCCTCTTGCCTGCAGTAGTTGGATTATAATTAATTTATTTATGATGCACTGACTATCAATTTGTCTGTTTTGTAGGCTGTTTTCTTGTCAACTAGTGGGTTGCTAGTAATGTTGCTTGCAGGTTGCAGGGATTTAGGTTCACAAACGTAGTTGTAGGGAGTCTTCTACAGGGGATGCCCTTAAAGTAGTATGTAAGAATTGAACTCGTTTTCGAGTTGTTGAGAGTTTTGTATTAGTTTTCCGTATAGATTAGAGCTCATCGCGTTGTGAGATCTAGTTCGAGGATTGTATTGAGAGGTTTGTATAATGTATTAATGAAACATTTTTTTTTAATTAAATTAATTAATCAACGAAATCAATTTTAAAAATTCACCTGCCTTCCAAGCTTTTTAAATAATCACAAATTTAAAACTCTCTCATAATTAGCTTTTTTTTTAAATGGCTCTCGTATTTTTGAACCTTGATTTTATAAATGACTTCTATATTTTTCTTTAGAAAAATCAATCAATTATTTTCGATTAATTCTAATTAAAAAATAATTATTAATCAATTTTTTTTTATTAATCAAAATATCAATTTATTGCTCCAAATTGTTCAAAAAAGCTTCAATAATTTTTCTTGAAATTTTCGGCAACCTCCGCGTCACCTCCCCACCGAGGGAGAAATCGGAACGCATTTGCCGATTATTTCTTCCCGTCGGGACTTAAGGTCGAAAACGACACGAGGCCTGAATTAAAACCATTCTCGGTCGATCTAAAGATCGAGATACGAGGTCTTCAATTTGGAATTTCTTCCCCGACCGGATTTGAATCGACGGTACGAGTCTGTATTTAAAACATCTCGCCGGATCTAATCGACGACACGAGGTCTTCATTTGAAACCATCCCGGTCGGATACCTAAGGTACGACGACCGGGGTTTCGACACCTGTTTTGAAATCCTCTTCTTTTGTTTTATAAAACATATAATTTTTTAATATAATATCATTTAATATTTTATAACAATATATTATAATATAATATATAATAATTATATTATTATTTATTACATATAATATAAGAGAGGGAGAGGGATCGGGTAGAGCCCGATCAGGCTAGGCCGGCCATGCACGAGA